AAATTTGCCAGTCACCAGCTGTCATAGCATCACAAGAAAGCTGCTGGTACCATTAAAACAACAAAAACATGAACTACATGTACATGTACGTATACATGTACATGTATCTCTAAAGTTTAACTTAGCATGCAATTGGCCAATACACTTCATCACTGGCCCACAATCGTATTATGTACATGTACAATGAACAATATGACATTTGTACCAATGTGCTCAAGAAAGATCAATGAAAGAACATTAGTACAAAAGTATTGAAATGGAATACAAAACACAGTAATGCATACAATATGTATCGTATAGTGGGGAATTTTGGAAGGACTTAAATTTGGTAATTTTCTAAATTTTGGTGATTGGCAGATTTTAATTTGGCAAATTTGTGGCCATGTGTCATTGAGCATGCACATAATGGCTCAAAATGGTGGATTTATTTTGGCGAATGGCTATCAAAACGCCAAATTCACCAAATTTAACTCCCTCCAGAACTTCCCACTATACAGTATATTACTTATTACATGTACATGTACACAGCTACACATGAATGTCTACATTAGCTGCTATTATACTCTCACATACATCTGGATGTAAGAACCAGTTCCTCATTGTAGCCCTGCTTCCATCTTTATCCAGCCTGTTCTCCTGATAGTGCCAGTCAAGGTGAGCCTGATACTCTTCCCTTTGATCTTCTCTGAATCTCAGACCACACGAAGTGCACGGCTCACCTTCATGAAGCAACATGTGTAGACCCTCATAGTCCCTGGGTAAGATAAGACCAAATACTCAGTTAACATACATTAATTATTAAAGAGATTGCGTGTTACATGCACAATGTACATGTATGTGGAACATTTTTATTTCAGACACATTTTTGAGGTATGTACTGTACATGCACTTTGGTATACCGTTTGTATGTTTTTATAGTTTTCTACAATCACAACGTCTCCTTATTTCAGAGGTCCTTATAGAGATTCCACACTATACACATATTTACATTGGGGGGATTTTAATGACTTAAACATTATCCCATTAATTATGTGCAATGTACATGTGTACATGTAAAAAATACATAAAATACAGTACAATGTACATATCATTCCTCTCCCTCCCTCTCTCCCTCTCTTTCTCCCTCTCTTTCTCCCTCTCTCTTTCTCCCTCCTTCCCTCTCTCCATACATTTTCAATTCTCTGATATTTAATCTAATCATGGGCAGTGCTGGTCCTCTACGAACAGGCGGAGGGTGACTGCCAGCCTCACCATCAGGAGGAAGGAGGAGGCCGCTACTCCTTAACTTCTCATAAAGATCAGACACAAGAGCAGGACCTAAACCAATAATAATTATTAAAAAATAAAACGAGAAAATAAAACGTTAATTAACCTTCGCTTTCTTGAGGAAGAGGATGACGAGAGAGATGATGAGGAGGAGGGGGACCTCTCTCATCTCTCATACCCCCCGGGCCCCTTCTCATTAGAGGAGGTGAGTGTTCCCTGAAGGCTCGGTCTCGCCTCCCACGCTTAAACCCCCTCCCGCCCCGTCGCCTGAAATTCGCCCTCGGTGGCGGAGGCCGTCCCAGACCCCTTGGAGGGGGAAAATCTCTCTGAGGAGGGATATAATCTCCAGGTGGGGGGAAGGGAAGGAGCGTGCGGTGGGGCTGGATCTCGGCTGACGGCCGAGGGTGTGATACAAGATCACGTGAGTGTGATGCAGAATCGTGGGGATGCGGTACAAAATCATGTGGGTGCGATACAAAATCATGTGAGTGCGATACAGAATCATTAAAATGTGATACAGAATTAGTAACGGGTGTGTGCGAAAATGATACAGAATCAAGATTGCGTGATACAGAATCACCGTGTGACACAGATTTATCATTAATCAAAAACTTATCAGTTCTCTCTTCTTTATGAGTTGCCTGCAACTCGAGGAGTTGATCAACCTGTCTCAGAAGTTGATCACGTTGCTCTGATGTTAGTGTGTCAGACTGTAATCTCTTTCTAGCCTACAAGCACATTAAACAAAGAATAATTATTAAACTATTACTACTTTTGTACATTGTACTATAGACTGCTTTAATCTTGGAGGGTTTATTTTGGCAATTGGCAATCAAAGCTAATAATATTAAAGACTGCTAATCTTACACGAGCTTGTACATGTATGTCTTGACAAAATTGCCAAATGAAAAAAAAACCAAGTGCATTTTACACATGTATAACAAATAAAGTACTACTCAATAATTATAAAATTAATTATATAAGGTACATGATGTACTGTACATGTACCTGCTCCAACATATATTCTTGTTTCTTGAGTATAAAGTCAGGTAGAAGATCATTGATATCTGTAGTCCTGTCATTATCCATTCCTCCTCCTCCTCCTCCTATTCTTTTCATTGGATTATTGTCAGTAACTAGAACAAGGTCTTCAATAGGCTCTGTCTTGATTCGCTTATTAGCATCAAACTGAGAGAAAGAAAAGAGAAAAAAGGACGAGAAAAATAATCATAATTAATGATAAAACAATTGGTATACATGTAGCTTGTTCATAAAAATTAAGTCTCCACAATATACTATACATGTGTACAACAATACATTTTAAGGTTATGCCTCATACCTCAATGCTAGTATCCTCATTTCTATGCTTCCTACCGGCAATGCCTGCACTGGAATCACTTTCCACGGGAACCTCATCACCTCTTGTATCCACAGTAACAGTGGGACTGGCACTGCGTGGGCGTTTAACCACAGACTCAGACGGTCTCTTCTCGGGACTTGGACTTGAGCTTCGCTTGTGTTTCTGTATGACGCGATCGAGAGAGACGTCGTCCTGTAATGGTGGGAGTATCCCCATCGAGAGCTGCTTGTTTGTTTTGATTTGTCTTTGTTGAGCAAGGAGCTTCTTACGTTTGTCCTTCATAGCCAAAGAGACTTCTTGAGAAGGAGCTGGTTGGGAGAGAGAGGAAGCAAACGAATCGACAGGTTTCAAGGAAGAAGTAGAAGAGAGAGAGGAAGAGGAAGAGGAGGTCGGCGGCGATTGAAACTGTACTTTCTTTTTCTTTGGAATACGATAATCGTTGGCTCCTGAGTCTTTGCTTGGACTTTTTGTAGGCTTGCTGTGTTTCATAGACGAGGAAGGCATTGGTGAGGGACTTTTTGATGCTTGTTTATCGACGAGAGTGTTCTGGGGGCTTCTTCTGCCTTTGTTCTCAATGGTTGGAGGAGCCAGTGAGTTGCTTGAAGGCTTAGATGACGCTGCTGGTAATGATGGTTTTAATATCGACTATGAAAGAGAGAGAGAAAGGGGGGAGATAAAAAAGAACAAACAAATATATAATTATCATTATACATGTACATGTATAAAGGTACCTTTTTGGGAAGTGGAGATGATCTTCTTTCAGTTGACGATTTCCCCGAATTTCTCTTAGCAGAGTCCTCCTTCTAGAAAGAGATGGAGAGAATGAAATTATTGAACATGTTTTTTGGGAAACCCTGGTAATAAAATAGTACAACAGAAGTAGAATGAAACTGGTAACAAAATAATAAAAATTCCATTAAAATTCAATAACAAGTAGCACTTCTCTCTCCTCTTACAGGTTCAAGAAACTTTGGATTCAAGAATATAGTTGGACTGGAGGGCTCCTGAGCAGTGATTGGCCAGTTTGGATCGATAGCGTGAATATGCTCATCTATAGCTGCCAGTTTCCTGACAGGTATGTACGGGAGCCATGTCTGCCTCAGTTTATACAAAGCAATACGAATCTTTGGGTCATTCTATGAATAGAAAGTATAAATAAAAGATACTGTGTAGATGTAACAGTGATTTTTATTAATGTGTGTATATATACATGCACTATATACACACGTGTAAATGTATGAATCAGTAATTATTATTAGTGGCATACTTTGTATAGTAACTAGCTATAATACACACATACAATAAGCTTCCCTAAGTCAATAATTAGATTCATTGCCACCCACACAATGATATTCATAGCACACCCAGACACGCCCCTAGCAACCACATAATGCATACCAGTGCTTCGAAGGCGTGGCAGAACACGCCCACGATCCCTTTTGTGAGTTCCTCTAGGAATTCCCCTCCCAGGTTCTTGATCATGGAGTCCATGAGATAGAGGGTTGGTATCTTGCACTCTTGCCGCACCTAAGGAACACACCATAACCGCATAAAGACAGGGATTTAGATAAAGAAAGAGGGGACGATTGAGAAAAAGAGGGGCCTTGCATAATTATACTGCTTTCAAAAAAAAAACTATTGTCATTATTATTTACAATTTTATGTGAAACACTTGTGTTACATACATTTACAATGAGAACAAATAAATAAATACACACAACATTGAGACTGCTATTTAAAAGGGAGCTAGGAAATGGCGGCCGGGAAGTCCTGTGAGGTACTACCTTGAAGAACCGGGTCTTGACCAGCTCGACTATGGCAGGGGCGTAGATTCGATATTTGTCTGCCTTCATGGTCAGCATGTTGATGATCGGCTTTGAGTTGAAGGTGAGCTCTTCTAAGACGGACTCGTAGTCCTCTAGTACAGTAGACTGGGACTCCAGGTCAGCCATGATGAGGAGAGAGAGGGGAGAGAAAGAGAGAGAAAAGGAGAGATAGAGAAAGAGGCAGGAAAATATGGAGAGACAAGAGTGAAGAGTCTCACGTGATAATCACGTGGAGATTTATTACGTCATAATTATTTTTACGTGAAAATTGTTTTTCGACCGAACCTACGAGATAATTGCTTTACAAAAGTATGTTCCTTCTTCCTAATTTGGAAGAGTAAAATACTATTAAAATAGCTACTCGTGAAACTATGCTAAATTGGTCAAACTACTATTAAAGGGCATGACCTTTTTGTAGTCCAAATGACTTTCCCATCAACTAACTGTTATTACTATATAAAGTTAAAATGACACATTTCTCTCATGCAAATTTTGAAAAGGAATGACAACAAGCAGGTGAGCAGGTGTGGGGAGTAATCACTCATGTCTGATGTAACAGACAAGGAAAGGTCATTTAACTTTATGTGTACATATCTCAATTTTAGGCTTTAAGTAATGATTTTTATGAACTGTTCATTAAAAAATCATTGCTTAAAGCCTAAAATCAAGTTATGTACACAAACATTTAAATGACCTTTCCTTGTCTGTTACATCAGACACAAGTAATTTACTTCCCACGCCTGCTTGCTATTAATACCATAGCAATACTATTGCATTAAATCATGGAATGATCTTCATAATTAATGCAGCAGAGAAAGAGCTTATACAGTCTGCACTCAAAGATATTGCTTTAGGTAAAAAAAATTTTCCTTCTTTAAAGAGCATGAGTTCTCTGCTTAATAAGAAGTTATTGATGCCTTTTTCATTAAATAATTAATACTTTATTGCCATGCATCTATAAAGTGAAGCAATGATGTGAAACCCTTCATTTGTTCATTGTATCATGCAATGAAAGGTCATCTAACTATCTGCACACAAGAATACTAGATATGCCTTATGCAACATTCTGTAACACTGCTACATAATCTTACATAAGAGATGTTATAAAAAGAAGCATGCTTGTATAGTTTAAGTAAACTATCATAGTCATTCAAGGAGAGATTAAACTATCATTCAAAGAGAGACTAATAACTTGAACTACCAGTCAAGGAGAGATGTTCCCACTGGTGGCTGTACTCTTATTCTTCAGTAGCTTCTGCAGTGTCTCCTCTCATCAGTATTATGTGTCTGATAACTGCAGTTCAGTTACTCATACACCTTGTAATCCGTTTTCAGTGTATGCTGGGAATATTTCTCAATATAATAACAGCATCTTCTACTTCGTTGGAACTAACACTATACCAGGCAAAGTCAGTTTATTGCAAGTACAATATATTACCTTAGAAGGAATGGGTGATCATTCTGTGCTTGATTGTACTTCAATCCCCAGGTATCGAAATATTCTCATTGAAAGTAGTAGCCATATTAAACTTGCCAATATTTTAATCACTCGATGTAGCATAAATATTCGTAATTCAAACCACACAACTATAGCTAATTGCAACTTTGATAGATATAGCTATACTTACATAAGGAATGGATTTGATGTCAATATTGTCAAGAGTACATTATGTACTCTTGATATCATGAATACTAAGCTCTATGATATTAGAATTATTTATACTCAACCACTATCATGTCAGAGCAATGGGCATCAGTATCACCTGAGCTTAAAAAATGTTACAATAGACAACTCACTGTATCTTGATATATGTCATGGTAGATCATACAATGTAAATGTGATAACAGAAAATGTCGAATCAAATCAGGGACATTTTGATGCTGTCATTTGTACTAATTCATTCTATCACATCAATATCACCAATGTATCAAGACGTAATATGTATAATGGTTTGCGTGTATTATACCATTTTGAAAAAACTGATGATTATTTCTCAAATCACATACAAAATTCTAGCAAGTTAATCATTGAGAAGAGCCAATTTGATGACAATATGAGGGGTCTTTCAATCCTGAAACTACCAGGATATAATGGTGAGTATGCTAAAATTCATCATTCAATTCTTGTTAAATCATGTCGGATCAGGAATAACAAACGATACGGTCTTTTCTTAGAAAATTACTCTTCAGCAGTCATGAAACATTATACCATTAGCATTAATGATACAGAAATAATTGGTAACAAGCAAAACGGTTTGATTTATACTGATGTAGTACTGAATAATGTTATTTCTAATTCTACAGCAACAGGATTGTCAATTTTAGGATCGACCGTAAAAATTAATGGAAGTGCATTTATTACAAATAATATTGGCAAAGATGGAGGAGGAATGGCAATACATGATGACTCAGTCATAATTTTGTTTCCAAATACTTCAGTCAACATTAGTAATAATCATGCTATGCACAAAGGAGGAGGAGTATATTTTAGGAACCGCATAACATGCCTTTTCAAATCTGACATGTCTGTGCATGTACACATGCTCAACAATACAGCTGCAGTTGCAGGTGATGATTCGTATGGTAACATTGTTAATGCAGTTGATTATTGTCCTCCTGTTTTTCGACCAAAAGTAATAAAATTATCATCAGATGCAATTGGTTTTAAGTTTTGCGATCCTGAGAATACTACCATTGAGCAATACAATGAGTCCATACCAAAAAAGGAAATATTTCCAGGAGAAAAATTGAAGTTCTATATAGCAATGCAGGGAGTGGGTTATAATAATGAAGACAGCATTACAGATGGTGTTATCGACATTAATATTGATAATGAGCAAAAGCTCAAAGAAGTACCAGTCAATGCTAATTGTTCATTAGTAGAGTTTACTCCAAACCAAACAGAGTATACATTGCATAATGTAACGCTGACTATCCATCAGTATTTTGACCAATTTCCTTTATCTCACGGTGGCATTTCTCAATTATTTGATGATAGTAGGACTCAAAAATTTCTCGAGTTCAATTATAGTGTTAATCACTGTCCTATTGGTTTTATTAATAATTCTGGTAAGTGCATCTGCAGGGAGAATATTTCAAGGAAAGGAGCAAGATGCAACATAAATACACAAACCATTGAACACGATGGTAAAAAGTGGATTGGAGAATATAATGATACTTGCTTTATCAGTGAAGCTTGTCTTCTACACTGTGCTAGTACTGGCCCTGTTAGCTTTACCATGGATAGACCTGATGCTCAATGCGAGGACAACAGAGGTGAATTGATGTGTGGGGCCTGCAAAAAGAGTTTGTTACTTGGATCAAACAGGTGTGATGAATGTAAAAATCCTCACTTAACAGCTTTATATATACTCATATTTGCATTAATGGGAATCTTACTTGTAGTTCTACTGATTGCTCTTAATTTAACAGTGTCAAATGGAATGCTAAATGGCCTATTGTTCTATGCTAACGTCATCAAGTTGTACAAGCCCATCTTTTCGAGCAAAGAATATTTTAAGAATTCTGAATACGTGAGTCTAGTCATAGCATCTTGGAGTAATCTAGACTTTGGGTTTGAGGTGTGCTTTTATGAAGGAATGGACAGGTATTTTAATGAATGGCTGCAATTTGTTTTCCCTTTTTATGTGTGGATTATCATCATTGTCATTATAGCACTGTCCTGGAAATTTGGTAAAATATCAAGGCTTGTAGGATCTCATGCAATCCCTGTTCTTTCTACTCTCCTTCTTCTCTCATACACCAAGCTAACACATACCATTGTCATTGTGCTGCACAAGCGTGAGGTAACTCTTTACTGTCCAGATTCTAAGGAGACTCTTAGTTTATGGTATGAGGATCCTACTGTAGAGTATGGTAAAGGTAAGCATGCTGGCCTACTTGCATTTGCAATACTTGTGCTCATCACTTTCGTCATTCCATACACACTGTTCCTTCTGCTTGGTCAGCTGTATGAAAAGTATTTATCGAATTTCAAGATATTCAAAAAATTTTGGTGTCATTTCAAGTATCTATGTTTCAAGCCCATCATTGATGCATACAGTGGTCCAATGAAAGATAAGTATCGATTCTGGCCAGGTCTGCTGCTAGTGGCTAGAATACCTTTGCTTTTGTCTGTTACTTTAGTAGATAGCTATATTGAGTCTGAGTCCCTTCTTCTATGCATACTATTAGTAGTTGTAGCTAGTCTTCTTTCACTTCATGTCTGCTTTGGTGGTTTCTATAGAAGAAGAGTCCACAATATAGTCGAAATTTGGTTTCTATTTAACTTGTGCATTGTGGTGGGATTAGAGATTGTCTCTGAAGATGATGAGAAAGGCATTTGGTTTATAATTTGCATTTCAATTTTTAATCTCAGTCTTATTATGATGGTATTTTATCATGCTCATCTACAGCTCTCGACAAAGAAGTGGTACAGGAAGCTCTGGAGTAAGAAGAGAAATGATGAGGTTATCGCTGAAAGTGAAACTGATGAGCATAAAACGGTCTTTATTCAAATGAGTGAAATCATTCCAACTTCTACGGATCTGGATGTTGCCTGTCGAGAATCTGTCGTTGAATTATATTGAACAAATTTTAAGTATTCAAGCTAATTTAGTGTTTAGATGTGTGCAATTGACTTAATATAGTGTTTTGTGCTGTGTTACATTTTTTAATACCATTTTTTTTATTTTAAAGGCGCCGAAAAATTTATATCAATAACGTAAAATTTATAACCAATTTATTAATAAAATCACAATCACATGATGGATCACGTGATTAATCAAACTAGAGGAGGTCCCCAACACGACAGGGCACAGTTAGGCTGAGGCTAGGGAAATCCTTGAGAATAATGGAAGGAGAGTACGATTTCTTGTTTAAAATAGTTCTAATAGGTGAGGAAGAAACGGTCTGAGAGCTCCTATAACTTTGCAAGGGATGCGTGTTTACTTTATCATCTTTTGCAATGGAGTAATCTTTATTATTATTATACTCTTTTGTTTCCTCATCAGGTGATGCTGGTGTTGGTAAGACTAGTATTGTTAGACGTTACACTGATGGTGTCTTTACATCTGCTGGCATACCAACCATTGGAGTCGATTTCTGCATCAAGACACTAAGCGTGAATGGCAGTGCAATAAAGGTAATGGAAAAGCTAAAATGAATAGTTTTAAGTTATGTACATGTGCTGTGGAGGCTGTGTAGCTCTTAATGTTTGCTAATTTAATTTTAATGACATCCAGTTATTCTACATTATGTAATGTACAAGGAGACTGTGTATACTATGTACATGTTGGAACTTGTTATGCTTGAGTCTTTTGTCATTGTTGGTTTATTGGTCTTTTGTTGTATTGGATACTGAAGGCAAAAACATGCCCCACATTCATGAATATACACGTACAGTTTATTCTGGTCAAGTATTCCAGTCATGTGCGTATTTATAATTGCAAAGTTTGTAAAAAAGTGACATTTTTGTTACTCTCACAAAAGCTTAGTCTCTCCATTGTAAAGTTTCCAGCTATCATTATGATGCTATTTTTAGGTAAATTGTATTGGATGTATTGAATTAATTTTTTAACATACTAATGTTTGCTTTTATTTTACTCTCTACACCTCAAATTTATTTGTTTACACCTGTCACTACTACTCCTGATTTTTTATCATTTATTGGCTTTTAGCCTTCATGTGATTAGAATTATAGTTAGACTATCATTTTTATTATTGTTTTCCCTCTTTGTTAGTGTAGCATGCATTCAAATGTCCTGTATCTAATGTGCAGATCAATTTATATCTCCAGTGCTTTATAAAGTTTACTGTTAGCTTTGTGTGTGTGTTTTTCAACCGTCAATTTGCTTGTAAGTATTGTTATTTTATTTCTCTCTCTTCTGAGAATCAACTCCTTTTGGGAATAGTAAATCAATATTCGAAATAAAGCATTTATTATTATAATATAAAGTGTTAGATAGATCTAGAGGAAATTTAGGAGAATTTTGATCTAGACTCTAAGTATCCTGAAAATCTCCTATTATTCAGCTGTGGTCTCTTATATTAAGCCTAAATGTCCTTATGTCTTTAATTTTTAGTTAGGTTCGTCTCCCAAATCTATTTCTAGACCAAGCAATGATTGATCATAGTAGGATCATAATGTAGGCTTTATACTCAGTAAATCAACATGCATTAAAAGCTCTTCTTATAGCTCTTATTGTATGTACATGTACATTGTATCAGGATTTAGGAGGGTAGAGTAGTTGGGGATTTCCAGTGTGTAGTTATCATAATGGCTGTCATGTGATTGATGATGTGGATGATGATGATGTGGATTACATGTATGTGTCACTGTGTGACATGCATACAACTTACATCATATTCATAGTGTCACATAATGCACTATTGAACACTTGGCACTCACTGACCTTAATACAAGATAATAGTGATTGTTGATACTATGACTTCCTTTACACTTACATCTCCACATTATCTCTCTGCCTCCATATTAACCTTTAAATTAGTTATTGACCTCTTCTTCTCCTTTCTTTCCCCTTAGTTACAAATATGGGATACTGCTGGCCAAGAAAGGTTCAGGACAATCACTCAGAGTTATTACAGAAGTGCTGATGCCATTGTTCTTGTCTACGACATCGGCTCTGCCACAACCTTTCGTAACCTTCCCGAGTGGCTCTCCGAGGTGGACAGGTACGCTGGAACAACGGTACACAAGATCCTCATCGGTAACAAGAGCGATCGGACGGACAGAGAAATACAGACTCATCTCGGGAGCCAGTTTGCTCAAGAGAACGATATGCCTTTCCTAGAAACCTCGGCCAAGAGTGCCGACAATATTGACAATCTTTTTGAACAGTTGGCAAAGACCCTAAGAGACACTCACATGCATAAAGGCATCAAGCAGAATACCGGGGGCGGGGCTCAGTCCTTGAAGTCGTCCACTGTTCAAGTACAGAGGCCCAGTCAGGAGAAGAGTGGAGGGGGAGGAGGTGGTGGTTGCTGCTGATCGACTGTATAGTCATAGTTTCTCTGTGTCATTGTGTTTTTAATTGATAGGGAAGAATTATTAAAAAAGATAATTCACTTGAAATTATTATTATTATTATTATTATTATTATTATTATTATTATTATTATTATTATTATTATTTACTGTAATTCTTAATTATAGAGGGAACGAGAGATAACAAATTCAATGTTAAAATGATGATTAAAAATAATTGAAATTAGATTAGCAATTTGTGGGTGCAGTAGCTCCATCCCCATTTAAGCAATTAACTAACATTAATAGGAGGAGACTGGAGAAGGGCATGGAATCGATAATCTATGGTTTGGGTTGGAGATCGGATAGTTTGTAGATAGAATGGCTGAAGGTAAGTTCTTTAAATGTACTGTACGCGAACTCAGACCATGTTTACTCAGTTTTCTATCCTGTACAAACTGGTACAACAAGCCTGTACAAAATAGGCAGTGGCTATTTTTACGGGCCTGTAATCCGACCGTGGGTGGCTATTTTTACGGCAGGATGATTTATCTATGGATTTACTCATTTTAAAACCTGGGAAACACTCTAAAATAAAAAACCAAACCCTAAACCAACCTTGGGGACTCCTAACATAACTAGGGGGCTCATAAAATGACTGGGGACGCTCTAAAAAAAAAACCGCCACCCTAACCCCTAAACCCTAAAAACAATAGCTAAGTAGGGGACTCCTAACATAATTAGGGAACATAGCGAAGTAGAAAGATAAAAAAAATCAATTTGTTAAAGTCAAAATTATAAAGAATAAAAAAAAAAGAAATGGTCTGAGCTGAATTCGAACCAGTGCTCGTCCGTATCCAACCCAGTGCCTTCCCCACTGTGCCACCACGATCCTGCTGCCTTGTTGATGCTGATTGTCATGTTTATACGTCACTTCATTTCTATATTCCCTGCCGTAAAAATAGCTGTATACAATGAGATTACGGGACCGTAAAAATAGCCACTACGTACAAAATATCCTATTCTCTTTATAATACCTAGATGAGGATGATCTGAGCGCGGATCTGAGTGTTCTGTTACATGAAATATACATACCGGTATTTGATGACCTACAAGATGTAGCTCCTCCGACACCTCGTCTGCCACTACTTGTACCTAGTGTAAGTACTTCACTTGGTACGTCCAGTCCTAGTCTGGAAACCCCGAGAGAAACCCAATCCTTTCGACACTATCATGACATTGCTAGATCTAGCAGTGTTCATTCAAACACAGAACGTGTAGAAATACTGCCGGATGATGATTTAGATTGCGTCATGAGCAACCTTTTATCTCAGAGTGCAATCGTTAGTACCCCAGTTGTTAGTACTTCAGGGGACCCCACTCCAACCCTTCCCTCTATAAGTTCATTTCCTTCTCATTTATTGCCTCCCTCCTCCTCCTCCTCCCTAGTTGGAGGACCAGACCTTTTGTGGGCCCCTGGTTCCCAAACTGCCTCCTCTCTACCCTCGGCTAATCCCAGTGTAACAGACTCTCCTTATCAAGATCCTTATTTTACTGGCGGCGTACAGCAGCAACAGCAAATGGTACATAATATTGATAATAATAACAATTAATGATAATAGAAAGAGAGAGAGAGAGATTGAGAATTAAAAATGCATGTCATGAAGTTGTTTTGAGTGTACTCTGTATAGGAGACTTGAATTGATTAAAAATAATTTCTTTTTTAGCCTCAACTTCCACCTGTCATGGGTGGTGGACAGCCTTCCTATGCAAGCAATGACCCAGAGAAGAGGAAACTCATCCAACAGCAGCTAGTACTCCTCCTTCATGCTCATCGCTGTCAACAGAGGGAGAAAGAGCAGCAGGCACAGGGTGAGTTCAGACCCTGTACTCTGCCACACTGTAGGACAATGAAGAATGTTCTTAATCACATGACAGAGTGTCAAGCAGGGAGAAACTGTCCATGTAAGGAGAGTGAGGGAATGGGATAGGAAAATATTTACCCCTTTCATTAATTATGTGTGAAAATTTTGGGGGTGATTTTGGAGTCATTTTCCATGGGATATATTGCAAAGTATTTTTCAGAAAATGGAAAATGGTTATAACTCAAAAATTTGAAGTCAGAATTGGCTCAAACTTTTACAAAGCATAAAGACGTAAATATGTATCATAAAATGTAATAAAAAATTTGAAGTAATTTTCAACCCATTTAAAAAAAATTTAAGCAAACGCTATAGTATTTATTCTCTCATTTTTAATTGCATGCAACTCACATGTACATGTACATGTTCATGTATTATACATGCACATGTAGTGCCGAATATAAAATGACTGCATTATGTTATTATTTTACATGTATGACTTTATTGATATAGTAAAAGTGTATTTATGTCATTCTAAATTCAATTATCTCTCTCCTTTCTTTCTCCTGTGTATACCTTTCCCTTACTTCTCTTTCTCTTTCTCTTCTTTCTCTCTCTAGTTCCTCATTGTGCTTCTTCAAGACAGATCATTTATCACTGGAAGAACTGCAACCAGCAAGACTGTCTTGTATGTTCCCCACTAAAAAACACCATTCGTCCCAATGTGGGTGGTTCCATAGGCGGAGTCCCTAATTCAATGTTTGGTAGTGAAGTCCCTCCAGTGAGTCTCCCACCACTCCCGGTCCCAACAGGTACGAATAGTTACCCAGGACATACCATCCCACACTTACCCGAGTGTGGCTCATAATTATGAGGATTTGTTTTTGTTGCATTTTTGGGTGGTACCTCTAGTAAAAAACCTATAATTTTTATTTATTTGCAATTTTATTATTTATTTTTAGCTACCGGTAATATGCCTCCTAGTCAAAATCCTTCTCAACCTCAAACAGCTAAAGGAGGAGGAGTTAATCCTAATCCAATGGGTTCTGCTGTACCTCCTCCCATTTTTATGGGGCCTAAACAGTATGTATTTATTGATTGATTACTTTTAGGGATGTACCTCCTAACAAGAATGCATGTACAGTACACTGCACATTTACCGGTCTACTCATGTACTTCTTTCTCTCTCTCCATTAGCGATCTCATTCCTTTTAATAGAGCATGGCGTGCTGAAGTTAATTTAGATATAAGAAATCACCTTATTAAAAAACTGTAAGTTTTATAATTTAATTATTATACATAATTCTCTATTTTTCACTTCATTCCTCTGTCTGTCTGTCTGTCTCTCCTCTATTTAGAGTTGAAGCAATATATCATCCAGTTCCTAATCCAAGCAGTACACATGATAGCAGAGTTAAGAGTCTATTCCAGTATGCAACAAAGGTTGAAAATATGATGTTTGAGAATGCAAGCAGTAGGGTGAGTTTTAATTACTGGGTGTGAATGTAATTGATGACCTTAAGGTTACTTTTAAATGCGGGTACTATTAATTGCAAATTTTGCATTTGGGTTAAAAATCGCAATTATTAATACTCGCAAATATTAATAATGACATCATGATGCCATATAACTGTTAGTAATAATTACTTAATCGCAATTTTTAATACCAGCAAAATCTACCAGCAAAATCTACCTTGTGCTAAAATTGCAAAATTTAGTACCCGCAATTAAAAGTCACTCTAAGGTATGCCAGCATGGTGAGTGTAATGGCCGATGGACAAGGATTAAACAACTACAATAAGTTCTCTTCTTTTTAGAAAAACACACAACTTAATTAAACTATTTATAACTAGCAATTAATAATCACCATAGAGTAATACATACTGACAGTAACAATAATAATAAGAGTACATAATAATCATAATCTTACAACACATAATGGTAATGATAATAACAATAATAATAATACATACTAATAATCATACTCGTTACAGTGAGCATGTGTCTTTGTCATGTAGGAGGATTATTATCAGAAATTAGCAGAAAGGATTTATTGTATTAGAAAAGAACTGGACGAGAAGAGAAAAATGAACAAGCTCAAATGTAAGAGAGCTATGCATGTACATTATTATAGCTACATGTAGATTATGAATGTACATTCACATTTACATGTTACATTGCACATTCTACTGTTTCTTATAGCTGATGCTCCTACCAATTTTCCTGATGATGGCCCTCATACAATGACTGATGTACCAGACATTGAAGGCCAACCAAGTAATATTTGCATGCATTTATAAATAGTAAAGTAGTACATGTACATGCACTGCACTACATGTACATGTTAGTGTTGTTCTAGTTCTTCTAAACTAGAACTAAATAATTATTGTTCTGCTTAGTTCTAGTTCTAAAAACTAGAACTAGAACTAATTTTTTTGTAGCTGAAATACTAGAACTAATACTAGAACTAAAATTATTTATTTGAAGAACTAGAACTCTATACTAGAACTAAAATTATTTATTTGAAGTACTAGAACTAATACTAGAACTAAAATTATTTATTTGAAGAACTAGAACTCTATACTAGAACTAAAATTATTAATCCTGAAATACTAGAACTAATACTGGAACTACAATTATTGAACCTCCTTAGAACTAGAACTAATACTAGAATTGAAAATATTGGTTACAAACTACTACAATAAACAGGTGAACATGTTTTAGGCAAAGCCTAGCTGTTACATTTTTATATAAACTGTACCTGTGACATTTTGATTGTTTTATTGGCAGCAGTAAAACTTATTACTTTGTGTATATAGCATTTGATGTACATTTGAAACATAACTCAGCAATATAACAAAAAAGATTTTAGTTAAGAGCTACTACTAGTATTTAAATTACTCCAATTTTAGCATGACTCAACTGGAACGTAAGTATTAGAGGCTTTAGTTCTAAAGTATAATACTAGAAATTTTAGTTTAAAGAACTAGAACTAAAATCACACTACTTCTAGTCAAAAAACTAGAACTAGAACTAAAATCACTGTATTTTTAGTCAAAAAACTAGAACTAGAACTAAAATTGTTGTATTTATTGTCAGAGAACTAGAACTAGAACTAAAATTATTGTATTTCTTGTCAAAGAACTAGGACTAAAACTAAAACTAATATATTTTTAGTTAAAAACTAGAACTAGAACTAAAATAATAGTATTTTTAGTCAAAAACTAGAACTAGAACTAAAATACAATTCCATACTAGAACAACACTAGTACATGTACATGCGTATTGTACTACTTTTATTTGATCTACATGTACACTGTATTTTCTCTCTCTCAGGTCCTTTCACTGATACTACTAAGATCTTAAAAGAAGAACTCATATCCTCTACCTCTCAGTCACTATTGGGCGGTGCTACTAAAATCATAAAAACTAAATTGAAGATTGATGATTCTGAACTCTATACTAAAGGCAGTTTTTCACCATCAGACGACTCTTCATCATCAAAGCAACCACTCCTTACTGTCAAGAAAGAAGAATTCTCTCCTCTCTCCTCTACCTTTCTTCCTTTTTCCCCTCCAGTGTTTTGTGATGAGAAGAAGCCAGCTGTTAGTAAGATTAAAGAAGATTCCAGTTTAGTAAAGGTAAGAGAATTTGGACATGTACATGTATATACTGTAATTGGAGTAATTTTGTTTGTATTTGATTTTGACATTTAAATGTTTGTAATTTTAAATTTTTTTACAACAGTCTACAATACTGTATAGCGCTTTAATTTGGCGGAGTTTTATTTTGGCGATTGGTGGCTTGCAAACAGAATCGCCAATATTAAAACCGCCAATCATTAATGCGCATGCTCAGTAATGCACGTGTACACAAAAAATTGCCAAATTAAATAAAAACCACCAATTAGAATTTTACAGCAAAATTGCCAAAATAAAGCACTGCCAAGATAAAGCGCTATATGGTAATGTGCAGTTTTTTCATTTTTGTTTTGTATTTTTTTCTAGATATTTACTCCTGATGAGATTGAGAATGCATTAATGCCAGTATTCAATGAAGTCATAAAACAAGAACCTGAGTCATATCCTTTTAGGCAACCTGTCAATCCAATAGACCTTGGAATACCTGTTAGTAATAGTAAAAATATAGGTTATACAGACTTCTACCATGCCATATCTATAGCTAAAGAAACTTCCCTTCACTAGCTAAGGTTTATAAGTTATAAGAGCAAAGGGACTCTTCTCTTCACTGTCTAGTTGCCTTGATTAACCAATATGCATTACGTAATACTAATAGCAATTTTTTGTTGACTAAAAATGTGTTCAATTGACTGTAAATATTAGTTAAAGTCTTAGAGACATTAGTTTTTTTTTCATTCTTCTTATTCATAGGATTATTTTGATGTTATTAAGAATCCAATTGATCTCTCTGTTATCCGGATGAAGCTTGAGAGTGGGAGCTATTCAGACCCTTGGCAGGTAAGCCATGGACTCCCTTGTAACCATGGCAATGAGTCTCCTCCCTCTCTGTACATGTACATGTATGTACATGTAGTTTTGTGATGATATGCAGCTGATGTTTGACAATGCTTGGACGTATAACAAGAAAACGTCAAGAGTTTATAAATTTTGTTCAAAACTTCATGAAGTGTTTTACGAGACTATTGATGAAGCTATGGTCAGTCTTGGGTACTGCTGTGGACAAAAGGTTAGCCATGCCCACAGACCAAATCTATTTATTATGCAGTTACATGTATTTTGTGTTGTTATTATTTATTTTACTATTAGTATTTTTTTCATGCACGAGTGCTGTATTGTGATGGCAAATCATGTCCCATTCCAAGAGACTCGGTTTATTACAACTACAAGGACATGTAAGGAAAAAAGAGAAAAGGAATTTTACAATTCTCTCTGTTTTACCATACAATGCAATTTTGCGATTTTACAGATGTTATACATTAGAAAAATTAAATTTTGCAAATGGATAGATTTTTAAAAGTTTAAGCCCTTCGAAATATTATGCTGTATTAGTAATTTTAGCCTAATTAACATTTTTTTCTCCCAAATCTATCCTTTCTAGATATGCATATTGTACTAAGTGTTTCACTGAGACTCCTGGTGATAGTGTAACCCTCAGTTTGGATGATACTAGCAATATTTCACTGCCAAAGGGAGTTTTCAAGCAAATAAAAAACGACACTGTTGAGATTGAACCGTAAAATTATTTATTTATTTATTTTTGATTTCTTGATTTGTTCATACTTGTTTATATAGCAGCCTCTTTCTCATTGTCTCTAGGATGGTAGAGTGTATACATTGTAGGAGGTCCTTCCATAAGATTTGTGTATTACATCACGATGAGATTTGGCCTGAAGGCTACCAGTGCTCGAACTGCTTGCAGAGCCTAAAAACTAGCAGAGCTGATAACAGATTTGTTGCAAAGAGTTAGTGTGTTCATGTATTATGATACACATGTTTGTGAGCACTAAAATACATGCTAACTTTTTCTTTCCCCAGGACTACCTACTACTAAGCTTGGCTTATTCCTAGAGGAGCGTGTTAACTCTTTTTTAAAAGCAGCTAATGTGCCAGAAGCTGAAGTTACTATTCGTGTGCTGTCTTCATCAAATAAACTACTTGATACTGGATCGGGTGCGCTAGCTATAAGTCACACTCATAGCCACAGCCACCGATGTTGATTGTTAAATTTAATGTCAATATTGTTATTGTTTTTTTATTATTGTTGTTTTTACATACACATGTAGGTATGATGGACAGGTTCTCATATTTCCCCTCACAGTTTCCATATCGTACAAAAGCTCTTTTTGCATTTGAAGAAATTGATGGAGCAGAGGTTTGTTTCTTTGGTATGCATGTGCAAGAGTATGGGTCTGACTGCCCCGCCCCTAACACTAGGTACATAACTAAGCAATGGCAAATGTACTTTTAATTAATTATGTTTACTTGAATTTTTAAGTTTTAATGCACTTTCTCTTCTCATTCCCAGGCATGTATACATATCTTATTTGGATGCCCTTCCTTTCTTCAAACCTGTGGAATATCAAACGTTTGTTAATCATGAGATAGTGTTAGGATATCTTGAATTTTGCAAACGAAATGGGTCAGCACTCTCTCTCATATCTCCAGTCTTTTTCTCTCTCCCTCTCTCTCTGTCTCTCTCTCTTTCATTTTATTTCTCTCCATACAGTTTTCAGACTGCTCACTTGTGGGCCAGCCTACCAGCTGAAGACTATGACTACATTTTTTACTGCCGTCCTATGGATCAGGACACAACTAAACCAAAGAGACTAGTGGAGTGGTATCGGAACATGCTGGAGAAAGGGAAGGCTCAGTCTGTCCTTTGTGACTTTCAAGACATATTCCAATATTGTGTAAAAGAGGAGATCACTCATATTACTGATATACCTTATTTTGAGGGTGACTTCTGGCCTAATGTTATTGAAGAGACTATAAAGGAGTTGGATCAGGAGGGAATGGCACCAGGAGCATTGTCTGTTGATGTAACGATATGGGAAAAGGAGAAGGAGAGAGTTACAGTAAGAATAGTCTACTGCTATAAATAAAATGAGAGAGTAGTGTATTTATCAGGAATTTTTCAGCAATTTTTTAGCATGAATTAAATTTTAATAGACTATGCAACTACATGTAAAAAATTGTGTGTAAATCACTTGAAATTTATACTTGTACTGTATGACTAAATTGACTATAAATAGTAATTAAACCTAGTACCTCTACACAATTGTACCATTAAAAATTAATGAAAGAAGAAAGGCATACTGTGCTAGTTAAGGACGACACTGTTTATGATTATATGCATTAAATAGTCCAATTGAGGTATTTTATCTCTCTTTTTTACTCCTCTCTCTTTCTTTCTTTAATTATGACAGCAACAGTACGGTACAGGCTCACAGAAAGCTGATAGTGACAAAGGGAGCAAAAAAGCATCCAGTGGAACAAAGAAGAGAAAGAAAGGTAGTCTTTCAAACTATAATCCTTTGGTCAGTGGTGATAACTTAACTCAAAAAATTTACCAAACCATGGGCAAGCATAAAGAGGTATGGAAAACTGCTGTCTTTGTGGATAATTTACAAATCTATCCTGATTTGATATCATATAGCAAGAAATTTTCATGACCCAAAAATGTCACAAATTTATTCAAAATCTATTTTGTGGTTTTAATTTTCACGATTTTCTGCCTTTTAGTCATGTTAAACCGTATTAAATCAATTTTTGCGGATTTTATTTTGTGAATAAATCGCGAAGTTCACAAAAAATTTGGGCCACGAAAAACTAATCATAAGGTATTTATTTCATTAATTCATTGAAAATGGAAATTTGTTCTACAAAACAAAACTTAAACACAAAATTCTGTTTAAGTTTTGAATCTTTCTCTTTAGGTATTTTTTGTAGCACATCTTCAGCCTCCCAAAAAGACTATTGTTTCTCTTCCTACCACGTCTGACCCTGATTCCCTTGTTACATGTAAACTGATGGATGGATATGGTGCATTCCTCAACCTTGCACGAGAGAATCACTGGGAGTTTTCATCGCTCCGTAGAGCAAAGTTCTCAACAATGTCAATGTTGTATGAGTTGCACAATCAGGGAGATAGTAACAAGGATAATATTATTTATTGTTGTAATAATTGTGGTACTGATATAGAGTTTAGGTGGCATTGTAAAGAATGTGAGGTAAGTACATGTACTGTACATACATGTACATATATGCATGCTTGAAATTGCCTGTAATATACTACCGTATAGCTCAAAATTTTTGAGGGCTGTAAATTTTGCGAATTTACCTTAAAATCGATTTTGCAAATTCTTTCACAAATTTATGCCGCCTGCCCATCTTGTATCGTAATAATTTGATTTTTGCAGGAGTAATTTTTGCAAATCTTTAAAAGATCGTGAAATCCGCAAAATTTACAGCCCTCCTGATTGTTGCATATACATGTATGTGGTTGGTTGTATTGTGCAAGTACATGTACATAAGTAATTAATTAATTATTGTATTTATTGACATTAGGATTATAATCTCTGCTCCACCTGTTATTATAAGATTGGTCATGAGCACTCGATGGAGAGGCTTGGTTTCAGTATGGAAGACAAAGAACCCAAATCCTCTTCTGCGTCAACTACCTTCTCTCGTTTGGAAATACAGCAGCGACGGAATGAGTTCCTCATCCATGCCTGTCAGTGCAAGGACAGCTCGTGCTCTAAGCAGCTCTGTATTAAGATGAAGCAGCTACTGAGACATGCCCGAGACTGTAAGATGAGGACATCAGGGAAATGCTCTGTCTGTAATTTTTTTATCAAGTTATGTGCAGCTCATGCTCAGGAGTGTCATGAGGTCAAGTGTCCAGTCCCGTTGTGTGCTAGTTTGAAAAAGCAGACAAGAGAGAGACAAATGAAGGAGCAGGCTAGAAACATCCAACTTGCTGATCAGCGTATAAAGGTTATGAGTTCTCACTCGTCCCCTTTCACCACTCCTAGTGAGCCTAACCCAGGCAGCTCATCTCCTAATGTTATTGTACAGCCTCAAGGATCAGCAATGCAGTCTCCTCTAGTTATGGAGAACAACATTCAGAAGCTGGTTCAGGCCATTTGCTCACCGTCCCCTCAAGATAATTTAAAAGCTAAGGAGTATCTAAGAACCCACACTGAGCTTGTACCGCAAGTGATTCAAGGACTCCAGTACCTTTCACGCGACAAGGAGGTCTCTTACTTACAGCAAGAGTTTGGGAACTATGTGTCAAGGCCACCACACCCACAACAGTCTTTTGGGGGTGGGGCTTACATGTCGCCTCAGGTCCGTCCGCAAGTACCCATGCAGCCTATGCAACCAATGCAAAGGCCCATGACGCCTTCTAGTAATACAATGATGCCTAATCACTATCACTATCCTGGGGGTAACCCACACATGACTCACAACCGTATGCCTTACCAGGGACAGCCAATGGCCGGCCTGGGTCACTCTCACCTTCAGTACATGCGTCATCAGTATTCATCTTATGACATGCAAGTTCCTCCTCCTCAGTATGAAGGAGGACAACCAATGGCTGATCCTTATCCTCAACATATATTCCAGCATCTTCCATCTCACAGTATGCAACCCCCTACTGATATGGGTGATAATCAGTTGAATGATAGTCCTGGGAGACAGATATTATCAGGTATTATTAGAAATATAAATTGCTTTCTCTCATTTTGTGAAAAACTAAGAAAGTTTTGTTTAGCTACATCTATTGTATTGCTAGTTTTAAAATAACTTGATAATGATTTTCTTATATTGGGTATTTATATTTTTGTTTGCCTCTTATCTTGGAGTATACATGTGAGATGCTTAATCCGAGAGTATGCCTTTCTCATTTGCATGTCTATGATACTGTATTCTTGCTCTTTTTTTCTATGTCTATTCTTCTTGTGTCCTCTAACTATTTCCATTTGTTTGCAATTTTAGCTAACTATCATTAAAAGGGCATGTACAATTAATTACTGTACTTGTGTGCATATACATGTACATTTAGATGCAAATTTTAATCCAATTTTTTCACTTTAGATTTTGATATTGCTGATCTGAGCTCTTTTCCACTACATACTGGTTTGAGTGATATTCCTAGGAAGAAAGTATCAAAAAGTATATTGCCTAATGCACACAATAAAAATGTGAATGTATGACCTTTCCATTGTAAAATAGCCATTGCATGATACAACTGACAAGCGATGACTAATGATTTAATAATGATCATTCATATTTTACTTATATTGTCATAAAAATTACATCTTTTGTATCATTAATATCATTAACATTCTACATGTACAGTATACATGTATTTAATAAAAATTTTATGCCAATGCCAATCAAATTTTTTATTTTTATTGTCTTTAGGAATAGTAACTAAATGGCTAAAAGAAGGTAGTGTTGAGCTAACTGTTACTCGTATTAATATACAAGGACCACCTGGATCTGGTAAAACCTGTGCACTGCACCTTCTACTAAATGAAGATCCACCTACTGACCATGTCACTGACAGTACACCAATTGCTTGTCCAACTTTTAGAGCTACAAGAGTATCCATTGACAATTTGAAATGGGAGAAAGTTACTGGGGCTCATTTACTTGAAAAATTGGCTTCTGATTTAAATGTAGCAGCTGCTTCTCAGCCTAAAGAACATATTGAAACTACTTCTCTATCATATGAACAACAATCAGAAGAAGATGCGGGAATAAATGAAACTGTTGTTTTAAATAGTGAAGCAAGCTCAATATCAAGTAATGATGAAACTGAAACTCTGATTCAGAAAATTTTAGACACAATCCAACGATCAGCGGTTCAGTTAAGTGACCATTGGTTGTATATTATTGATTCTGGAAGTCAGCCAGCATACCAGGAGCTGTTACCATTGTTCATTAAGACAGCTTTTTTCAATATCATCACTCTTGATCTCTCCCAACCTCTTGATAAAAATCGGGAATTCTTTCAGTCTGCAGTTTTTTCTGGAACAATTTTCAAATTAATTAATGTCCCTTATGTTAGTGGCTCTTCATTTACAAAGCATTTTGTATTAGGCACACATTATGATGTCACAAGTCAAGATACGCTCAAAAAGATTGATGAAGAGTTGAGATCTTCAATGAATCATAACATGCAAGGTTATGTCTCCAATAAAGGTGGAGAGTCTATCATATTTCCTGTTAATACACTAACCTCTGTTGATGAAGGAAGAATGGAAGCAAGGCAAAAACTATGTGAATCAATAACAGATTATGAGATTTTTTCTCAATCAGTTAAAATTAAGATGCCGATTCGGTGGTTTACATTTGCACTTTGGTTGCAAAAAGTAGGAGAGAACAAAAGCCGTGATTTTCTCATAATAGATGAAGTTGTATCTGCTGGTAAAAGGTTTAAAATGAGTGAGAAAGATACTAAGGATGCCTTACAGTATCTCCACAGTGTCACTATTGTCCTATATTTTCCTGATATCTTGCCACGATTAGTTTTCATTGATCCTCAGCCTATTCTCAAGATTCTATCACATCTGTTGGCTCTAACTTATGTTCAAAGAACTGCACTACACCTAATTGCCAATCCAGTACCTTTAGATGAAGATATTAACAAGCTTTGTAATACTGGTTTCTTTCAGGAGAAGCTCTTGTATCACTTGAAATCAGATGTTAAGGTTTTTTTCCCACCTCATTTTGAGCCATCCCATTTAATTAGGCTTCTCATTCACCTTTGTGTCATTACCAAAGGAAAAGAAGGAGATTATTTTTTTCCTTATGCTTTGCAGTCATACACTAATTTATCTGTACCTCAAACAGAGACCAAGCCCCTCCTTATAGTCTGGAAACTTGAAAAGCCCACACCTCATCTTCCAGTTCCAGGAGGAATATTTCCTCAACTCATCACTCACCTCCTCAATCAAAATGAACTCTCCTTTAAAGTTGAGTTCCCTCCATTACAGCCACAGTACTACAGGTATCGTGATGCACTATCTCTATGGATCAGTATTAAAGGAAAACGTTATACACTTCACATTATCAATCGCTACACACATATTGAGGTTTATTACAATGGATCAACTAAGGAAGCAAAAGAGAATTGCCCATATATTCGTGAAGTAGTCATGGCAGCTGTTGATACAAGTGCTGATGCCATCAATATTATTCCCAGTCACTCTAATGCGTTCTTTTGTCCTAAAAAAAAGAACTGTTACTGTGTCGTAGAGGAAAACTATTTTGTAAATTGTACACTGTGTACTAGGTCAGCTGATATAAGTGAAGATGATGATAGCTATTGGTGCTGGTTTGGTTTAACAGATTTTCAACCTAAAGCAGTGACCTCAGGTAATTTTTTAAATGTTGCATGTATGTGATTTTGAAGTTAAAAAAGTATTACTGATTTTCTAATTGAAATCATTACATTAGACCACTAACTATTTTCTTCTTTTACTAGATTCAAAATATTTGCAAGCACTTGATATACAAGTTTTAGATGAAATCCTAACAGATATGAAGGAGGGTCGTTTATCAGTTCAGTTTGATTATCTTATTCCTCAGACAGGTTTGTGCATGTGTGTGATTTTACTTGTAGTATATGTATGTATCTGTGTTGTTTCAGATTCACTAGACTCTAGTGTCCTTATAGCTGGACAGAAGCTCTTCATCCTACAAGGAGACAGGTCTCAGTCACTCCAGTGGGAGAAGTATGGATTCAGATTAGAGTGTCCTCAAGGAGCAGTGTCCAAGGATACTGAAGTAGCTGTTACTGCAATAGCTGGTGGTAATTTCAAGGTACCCAAAGGCACTATGTTAGTCAGTGCAGTATATGCAATATCAGTATCTAAGCCGCTATTAAAACCACTGGTAATAGAGCTACAACATTGTGTGGATTTGAAGTATGAAAGTCAAACTCGTTGTCTCAAGTTTGTGAGTGGCCCACTGAAACATCCTTACCAGTTGAGTCTTGTTGAAGGAGGTGGATCCTTTAGTATAGGAAATAGATTTGGATCAATTAAACGTGACACTTTTAGTTTTAATGGCATTGTAGCTGAGATGAGTGATGGGGACACACATAGTGATGGTGGGACTCCATCTGAAGGTATTTATGCATAATATTGTGTTTGCATATAACGTGCTTGTGTTATAGGATCAGATGATGAAGATGCAGATACTGACAGTAGTAAAGAGGTAATGGAAATGGATGAAGGACCTCCGGTTGATATTGGCACCATTAAGAATGGAGCTACCAAATCAGAAAATATTGCAACATGTGATATACTGTATATTTATTGTATATGAATTTAATGAAGATTTGTAGTTCGAAAGAGAAAAGGGAGTGAAAGCATTACGGATGATCTTCCGCTAAAAAAGACTTCTTTAGGTCAAAATGATGTACAAGATGTCAGCTCTACTAATGGTATGTGCATATACATTATACAGTACATCATGAAGTTTTTAACATTGTTATTATTATCAGAGCAAGATCAAGAAGGGTCTTTAAGCAGGCCTATAAGTATATCCAGTGCTACTCTTTCTAGTGATTCAAATAGTCATATTTCACAAAGTGAAGTTAAACTTTTTTTAATTGCAACAATGAATATTTCTCTCTCATGCAGTTGGTGGAGATGTTAATAGTGAAAAGAATGGTACAGTTGTCATTATAATGCAACCATATATTATAGTATTTACAGTTACTCATAGTGCTATGCTATACACTGGAATGATGTATTATGAAGAGAAAAATGCTAATCATTGGATAGCAATTTACTCTGTTGTTCAAGATCTAGATGTCCTTATTCAGGTTTGACAGTGTTATATACCCGTACTTTATATTATTATTAAATTATTGCAGTATTGCAATAAAAATCATCCTCTTGCTGAAAAAGATTTTGTTGTGGATACATTTAATTTTATTGAACCAAATGGCTCTATTCAATTGATTTTATCAAATAATGAACAGGAAGGATGGACAGTACATGCTAGCAGAGAACAAATGAAAGTATGCTTTATACTTATTTTATAAATCAAATTTTTATGCTTGTACATAGTTGCTAAAGTCAACAATAGATAATTTTTCCTCAAACCCTTTATATTCAAGTTTCAGCATGAATGTACATGCAAAAGTTGGTGTTGCACAGGATCCACTACATTATCCTATTGATATTATTGGAATAGATCCTGAAAAGACTGTTTTTATCAATAGACATCCTCCTCCTTCTACATATAGTTAGTTAAAATAATAGTAACTGATTATACTTATTGTATATAGTAATTAGTCCTACCACTACTACTCCTAGTATCCAAACTGAAGAAGGTATAAAGTGGTTGACATTTTAATTTAACACAATTAAAATTTACATGTGTAGGTGTTACATACATTTCTGAGATAGCTTCTAAAGTCATAACAGACAATGCTTTGCTGATAAAAGGTTGCGGGATTAATCTTCTTTTCTTAGTTGATAAGTTGCTGGAGAATGAAATCATAAATGCAAGAGAGAAAAGAGAAATAACTGATAACTACTCCAGGCAAACTGCTGATGAAAGAATGGATGAATTGCTTCACATCATTTCAAGTTCTATTAACATGGATGGAAATATATTTGGTATATTTTTGAATATACTGAGAAAGGAAGGTACAAGGAGAACCAATGCACTAGCTGATAAACTAATTGGAAAATATAAAAATTTGCATAAAACTGAATGAAACTTTTTTATTGTGAAGGATTATAATTTTGAATTTTTAACATATAATTTGCATGTATTTTTTTATTTGACACTTTAAAACATTATGTTCATTTTTATCATTATCAAAAAATGAAGTATTTTAAAATTGTGAAAAAATAATCATAATTGAAGAAAATTAATTTTATTAAGCATCGAGGCGTGGTCCATTACAATTGGAATTAAAGATGGCGGAAGGAATGGATGTTGATCCTGCTCCTGCTGTCGTTCGAGACAAGAAGCGTTTTGAAGTCAAAAAGGTAAGAGAAGCTTTAAAGCCATTTGATTACCTTCTTCATTCATTTTACAATATAGTGGAGTGCAGTGGCTCTTTGGTCCTGGGGTAAGAATGACTCAGCATTTTAGATATATTCACTATTTTGTCCCACCTCCTCTCTCTAGATATTGTTGTTGATAACTGTGCAATTTGTCGCAATCATATTATGGACTTATGTAAGTACTGATAACACTCAACATAATCTCTTACATGTAGTAATGTCCATTGAGAGTTTGGGTCCCAATATTTTGGAGTATGTTGTGTCATAAAAAATGACTTGGAGAGTATTTTATTACATTTCCTGATACATATACATGTACTTATGCTGCGTAGAAAGTTTGAACTGATTCCGATAAAAATTGGATTTTTTACAAATTTTAAAAGTTGCTCCAAAATCGGGCCACACAAATTTTGGCAAAAATGAAAAGTAGAGAATTCTTCATTTTTATAAATTTTCCTGATACATATAGATGTACTTATGCTGCGTAGAAAGTTTGAACTGATTCCGATAAAAATTGGATTTTTTTACAAATTTTAAAAGTTGCTCCAAAATTGGGCCAAAGTCCCTGTACTATAGTACAGGGTCATTGGTCAAATTTTGCCAAAAATGAAAAGTAGAGAATTCTTCATTTTAATAAATTTTCTTGATACATATACATGTACTTATGCTGCATAGAAAGTTTGAACTGATTCTGATAAAAATTGGATTTTTTACAAATTTTAAAAGTTGCTCCAAAATCGGGCTAAAGTCCCTGTACTATAGTACGGGGTCATTGGTCAAATTTTGCCAAAAATGAAAAGTAGAGAATTCTTCATTTTTATAAGTTTTTTTGATACTTATACATGTACTTATGCTGTGTAGAAAGTTTGAACTGATTCCGATCGAAATTGGATTTTTTACAAACTTTTAAAATTTCTCCAAAATCGGGCCAAAGTTTGTCAAAAATGGCTAAGAAAGAATCCCCTATTTTCATAATTTTTATTGGATTTTTTACAGAATTTTTAATGATGTAAATGTAGGTTACAATAATACTTAATATGCCATTATTACAGCTTAATGAATCAATACTCGATAGGTATAGAGTGTCAGGCTAACCAAGCCTCAGCAACCAGTGAGGAGTGCACTGTTGCATGGGGCGTGTGTAACCACGCCTTTCACTTTCACTGCATATCAAGATGGCTCAAGACCAGACAAGTCTGCCCCCTTGACAACAGAGAATGGGAATTTCACAAGTAATAATAATTATATACCATATAGCTTGAAATTTTCGTGGAATGTAAATTTTGTGATTTTCGTGGTTATGGGGCTGCCCATGAAATTTAAACCCATGAAATCATTGAAGTGTGATCCCCTTACAGGCTATGTAAACTGTCAACCACAAAAATTAAACCACGAATTGCCCCACCAGGAGCAAACCACGAAAATATCGACTCACGAAAATATCAAGCTACGTGTATACGGTAGTAATAATATTTGTAAAAATGTTATTAATGTTAAATGAAAATTAGTGTTACACGAATTCAATAAAAGCATGCATGTTAATGTTTAAAAAATTTTTCAGATGCTTTTAATGCAATTATGTGCCATCAAAATGTCATATTTTATTCATAATAGATGTCAGAAAAAACCAAACTATCTTGTACCTGTTTTTTACTGTAGTATTAATTAATTAATATACAAAATACTTTTCCTCATACTTAGGTATGGTCGGTGAGAGAAGCAGACAGGGAAAAATACAAGAAAATAATTTCATTGAAATTAAGCCATCAAAAACAACAAAATGTTATTAATAGTAATAATTATTATTACACAATATTAATAATAAAAATAATAACAATACAAAATAATGTTTTGATTATGTGCATCATGTATTAGAAGCTACTAAATATAACAAAAAAAATACTAGAAATAATTGAACTATAATATCATGTTCTTGGTTTAGGAGGAGGCATTGGAGGTCTTTTACCTCTTGAGTCCCACCCACCCACACTGCTACTAGCTCCACCCATATTGTTACTGGCCCCGCCTACCACATTACCACTTAACTTAGCTTCTAATGTCTTAGCAAATGGGCTGGAAACTGTCGATATAACGAGTGGGTCTCCGCCCGGCTTATTCCTAGCTCCACCTACCCCAGAGGGTTTTGGTTTCGTTGGTTTAGGAAGAAGTGCTGGGGGTCGATTAGAAGGAGAACCACTCCCAGCATTACTGACCACACCCCTATCAGTCACACCTCTATCGTTGCTAAGGCTACCAGCGTGTGGTTTAGTCGGCTTCACAGGCGGGGCTGGCTTTGGTTTCGGTTTCACCGGCGGAACTAACTTTGGAGAAGGGACTCTCTGAATCTCGTGGGGAAGAGGGAGAGGATCCAGATTAGCTCTTTGATGCTGTACCCTTGAAACGACAGCATCCCCTGAAGAATCGCTCTCAAGAGCGGAATAAGAGGAAGCGATAGAGGAAGTGGACGAAGAGGAGGCTAGGTCTATTATCTCGGTTGTCCTGTATGGAAGGATCCGTTTAGACGAGTTTGACTGAGTGTTATGCATAGGAAGAGGCATAGTGTGAGAATTAGAGTTCCTGTTGGAGGAGACAGAGGAGAGCAAAGACTCGCTTCTCACGGATGAACGGTCACTCTGTCCTGGTATTCTCCTAGGGATGGGCGGAGGAGGAGGGGAAGTCTCACTGCTGGCGTTGGACTGGCTCCGAGTTGATTCTTCTCTTGGAGGAGGAAGAGGTGGGCTAGAGTCCTTAAACTTATTGAGAACTGAAGGAGTTGATAAAGGAGCTTTCTTTAAGCGGGCTCCAGGCAGGGCTGGGGATAACGGCCTGTCCCTATAAAAAAAATTAATAATTAAAAATGAATTATAATATGTTATTAAAATGCAATAAAAATGGAGGATTCTTCCCTATTCAATTTACATGTACATGTACATGTAGGTGAAATTTGGCCAGAGACAATGCAAGCTAGGAGTTTGGTGCAATTTTAGAGCAGATTAAAAATTCGCAAATAATCCAATTTTAATCGGAATCAGTTCAAACTTTCTACACAACATAAGTACATGTATATGCATCAGGAAAAATTATAAAAATGAGAAATCCTCTCTTTTTCGATTTTGGCAAAATTTGGCCCAGAACCGTGTACTATAGTACAGGGACTTTGGCCCAATTTTGGAGCAACTTTAAAAATTCATAAAAAATCTAAATACAATCAGAATCAGCTCAAACTTTCTACGCAACATAAGTACATGTATGTGTATCAGGAAAAATTATAAAAATGGAGAATTCTCTACTTTTCAGTTTTTGTAAAATTTGGCCCAGGATCGTGTACTATAATAGTACAGGGTCTTTGAGCAACTTTTTAAAAATCAAGTTTAATTGGGACATGAAATAAAAAAGCATCATTCCTTACATTGGCTTTGAGTGAGTGTTAGAGAATGTGAATGAGCCAGTGGATCCCTTTGTGTCTCTTGGAGGCACTGAAGGTGCTACACGTGGAGAATAACTAGCTGAGAGTTCTTCATTCTAAAAAAATTAAAAAAGTGTCTTATCACCCTCTGTGGAATTAGCATTCTATAAATAGAATCTAGCTGTGTATCTACTAGTGCCACACTAAACTATTTGTTTGGGAAAACAGTCGCTTTCTAAAAACAAACACACACACACACTCACACTAATTAACTTATGACATAAAATAGAAAACACTCAAGTCTTAAACACTATATTAATCAAACACTTAATGAAAGAACAAGCAAAAGATATAACTGGTTTGCCTAGCAGGTGCGTCTATACACTATTCAATACAAGTAGTAATCTTTTGGGTCAATAGTCAATACACAATAATACAGTCACAATGTAGTCAGCTACTATGGGGTATTAATTTCTTGACACAGCCCACGTTGACAAAAGCATGACATTGCCCCCATTACACTCATCACGAAATGCTAACTACAACTTTACAAAAGACGACAAGAGGACAAGCTTAAAACAGCAGCACCTCTTTGATGATAAAATCGAGGCCTTTTAAGTCCAAAGGCTAGGGGGTGAAATGAAGACTGGTATTCTCCAACAAAAGAAAAGGATATAGTCAATGGATATTAAGCAAGTTATGTGCTAAGTTATGATGTGTTATGACAGAGTGCGAATGAGTGATTGGATGTACTTACTGGAAATGTAAAAGCAGTTGGAATTTCAGCCTAAGGAAGGAAGAGAGAGCAGGAGAGAGGAAAAGACAATAAATAAAAAAGAAGAAAGGGTCATTGATATTGTAGAGTAGGAAATATTGATGCGCATAATTATACAAAGTAATTTGTAATTGCTCTTTTGTGATTAGTTGTATTTTTAATTGGAGGGTTAGCTGCCATGTGTCATGGAGCATGTGTAGAATAAAACAAAATGGCAGTAGCAGTTTCTTTAGAGATTTAGCCAATATTAAGCTAACCCCCAGCCCCCTATCCCCACTAGCAATATTTCCAGCTACATGAACATGTGTATAATAACTATAAATTACTTGATTATCATAAGTATTCCAGCGATCACGTTGAGAACGAGGAGTACCTACCACAACCTAAAAAGAAGAGAGAGAGAGGGGGAGAAGTGACAGGGTACAGTATAAACTATACCCCTACATATACTAGACATACAGTGTACTCCCCTAGCTATACTGAATCATAATAAAGTAAATTATTATTATAGTCAGTAGGTAACAATGACAATCAACACAGCTCACAACAACAAACTGAGTAAACTACAAGTTGGAAAGTAAAACCCACTTGTATTACAATCCTTATCTTATCAAGGTTATCAGTATAGAGTTGGTAAGTTAATAATAATATTCAGAGAGAGATTAAGTGGAGTTATAGGCACATATAAAGTGCTGTTTAGCTCCAATAACAGAATTTAAAAGCACTTGGTGTATTTTGTATGCAAATATGTTATCATTTGTAGCTATGCTCCAGTAATGTCTGGTTTCTATGGCACTTTGAAATTGTTATTGATCTTTCTGTCTTTCTTTCACTAGGTGTGTTTATTCACAGCTGCTTGAATAATCAAACCATTTCTTATTGTCATACTTCTTTATTATGCATGGCACAATACACAAATCTCTCTCTCTCTCTCTCTCTCTCTCTCTCTCTCTCTCTCTCCCTCCCTCCCTCCCTCTCCCTCCACCACCCCTCTTTCTCTCCCTCCCTCCCTCTCTCTCTCCCTCTCCCCCTCTCTCTCTAACTCACATCAGCAGAGAACTGTACTTCCTCATATTCCTCTGTAGGTCCATTCCATTCGTTACTTCCATTACTTACTGTGCCTGGTGACATACTGGACCCTCGTTTCTCCAACGTCTTCTGCAACTCTCCAATATTAAATCCCTCAGTTTGCTTCACTGGCTTTAAAGGAGGAGGAGGCGGCATTGGTTTCCTTGACCCAGGAGACAGAGGAGGACTCACGTGGGCCTGGTTTTCTGTGATGGCGCTTCGTTTAAGCATCGAAGGAATGTTGATGGGTGAGCCGGTAAATTTAGGGTCTTTAAGGAGACCTCTAGGATCCGAGGGTCTTGTGAATTTTATGAATGAATCCGAGCAGTAGTCAGCTGGAGTTACTGGGTCTTCAATGACTTCATAAGTATCACTGAGAGAAGGAAAGAGATGGGGGGAGAGAGAGAGGGGGGGGAGAGAGAGGGAGACAAAGAAGGAAGGGAGAGGTGTAAAGAGAAAGTTAAGACAAAAGGAAATAATTATAAGAAGGAAAGCATTATGGAGTAACAAGAGAAAATAGAGTAAGATAAAGTAGTGATTTGAAGAGTATTTCTTTCCCTTACCCTTCCATAACCTCATCATCAGAGTCTTGCTCAACATCATTTGGTACAGAAGAATGAGCTTGGGCTGGGGCTGGAGTAGAAGGAAGCGGTCGAGGACGATTAGTCACATTTGGTAGAGACTTCTTAATTCTATTATTTTCTAAGGAAATTAAATACCAAAGATGCTTAGTCATTTTAATTTCCACTTACATGTACATGTACAGTCAAACCTGTCTATTCCGGACACCTTGGGACCCAACAAAATTGTCCTTATTAAAGAGGTGTCCTTATTTCAGAGGTTCATTAATACACATTTATATTGTATTGGGACTGATACTACCTGTCCTGATTATAGAGGTGTCCTTATTCTAGACTGTCCACAATAGCAGGTTTGACTGTATATGTAAATTGCAACAGCTACCATAACAAACTTAAAATATTCAAGTGTATATACTGTAAATGCAAAGTGAATAGTCTTAGTCAAAAAGACTTCAAAAACTAGCTACAAAATAAAAACTCTATACTACATTTACATGTACACATGTATCTCCAAACACAATATAACAGTTTCGTGGTTACATTACACTAATTAATAATTGCCAAAGAGACACCTCCCTATTAAAAGGGGGCCTCATTTTCACCTACACATTTACAACGCTCTACAGTAAATATTTTTACACAACTTGTGTACTCCTCGTCTCAGCCCTTTTCCTTTCAATGACTTGGCAAGGGAGCAAGTTTCCTCTAATCATTGTTAGCATCTCTTTTTGGCAATGCTAATATTCCCCGAAAAAACAGATAATATATATCTTAAATACTTGATGCATTATTAGTGATAAGTCCCATATTACTGTACCATAGCTTGTACTTAATGTACATGTGTATGTGAAAGCATTAATTCTTTACCATCAGGGCTGAGTCCAGAAACCTCAGCCAGCGAGTGTATCCAGTCGTTAAGAACTGGCGGGCATTCACAGTCCAGCCAGTAATCCTTCTCCTTTCCTTCTTTCAAGACTGTTAGTTTGATAACGTTTTGTCTCTTTCCTACAGCATATGGTGCTTCCATGTCTTGACACTGGTACAAGTTGAGCGTCCCACGGTACTCCTCGCCTTTCTTCTGGTAGCTGGTGTAGTATTCCAGGGTGCCTTGAGACCAGAGCACAAAATATCTTTTCTGCCAGACCTGCATATTGTGTGTGTTATTAAAATGAGAAGCAACTAATGGAATCTTAGGGTTACCGTCATAGAAAGGAATGACTCCTTGGGGTGAGCCTTGTGGAGGTATCCCTCCCGGATTGGAGCTGCCATGATGAGCGAGGGATGGAGGAAGAAACAATGAGAAACAGTCGGGGAAATATCTCTACTCCAGTACAGTACACACTGGAATGTGCTGCTCAAGTTGTGTGGTGGGCGTGGCTATCGATTATTATTAGAAAATATCCGGAGAAAAACGCTAGGATACTTACTAACCGGAAGTGACATCTTAACGAACTTGTTTCCTGTGATATACGGTGGTAGTATCCGGAGTTAATTAATGTTCTTCCGCAATCGGGCGGGATAAAGGCAAACTGCAAAACGGAAAAAGAAGCATTCATAAACTTTGCTTTCTCTGATCCAAAGCTGCAAAAGCAAAACTACAAGCTGTTTTATTGCTGTAATAGATCTGTGAAACTTGTTTCGTTGGAGCTTTCCGTCTCAGCCTTTGTTTTTACAAGCCAGTCTCCTCCATTTTAGCAGTTTTGATTGGTGACATTTCGAGCAGGAATGGGAGGCGGTGAATTGATCAAGAAAGGCTGGCTAGTCAAGAGTCCTCCTTTGGAGACCAGTGGAATAAAAGTGAGTGCAACTCTCTTGTTTTACAGCTACACAATTAGTGGCCATTGATTTGTTTACTCACCTATGCTGCTGCTCTGATGTGGCTTGAAACCGGTTGACCATTAATTATTTTTCCCTTTCAACTTTGTGGTGGGTTCTGGTCCTCTCCCTTCCGTTTTTTTGATGCCTAAATGAAAGGGAATGTGGTAGGATATTGCTAAAAACCCTTTGCTTGCAAGCCCACAGAAAAGGGTGGGTGGGATTACGTGGTCCTTTTCATTGCAGAAGTCTAATTGAAATTTAATACTCAAGATATTGTTACAGTCTTACCCTTCACTGCCCTTCACACACCCACTTTGTTTTGTTTACAATTTTAGTGCTATTGCTTTGCTGATGAATGCAGCGCTATATTAAATTTTGTGTTTCTCTTAACTTTATTTGACACTTTTCATGGGATTATGCAACTCGAGTAGGCATGCATGAAATAATTGCTTCAATAATAATTGATATTTTAGAATTATTATCATTAAAACAAAAATGTTCCAATACACGTAACCATGAGACATTTATTCCTGAAACGTACTGAACAAGAAAAGGAAGGAAATTTGCCTAGTAAAAAAGAAAATAGTTTCCTTGCATTTTATGCATGTTTATCATTGTATAAACTGACCTTATGGTAGCACTGCCTTTAATGCTACTGTTACTATTGTCAGAAAATGACAGACTCTGGACTCTTCCTATTGTGCCTTGGGTCCACCTGTTATAGTGTGGTTTAACTATAATAATATGTAGTAAAATTATATGTGATATTTTCTCTGTGGCTTTGATTATCATTATAGATTAAGAGAAAAACAATGGGAGAGAGAGAGGAAGAGAGAGGGAAAGAGAGGAGATGTTGATAGAAATAGAGCAAATTTGCTTAAACATACAATTTCATGTCAATCTTTCCCTTAACTGATAGATGTGTTATCCCTAAACATCCAACTATATCTTTCCCACATGGTGACACTTGTCTAAACTTTATTCTCCCATACAATAAACTACAATCTTTAAATGCAACACAAGTGCATGTAGTATGTTTCAAGCACATTAAAACTAACATACCCCGGTAAATTCATCAAATGCATATGCATTTATGTGTACATATATGTACATGCAATAGCTGCATTGTGATTTAATGTTAATTGTGTATATACATTGGGCTCATCTAAGACACATTATATGTTTCAAAAGAGACATGATAAACAAACTGGTTGCTTACTTTTATGATTGCCCCCTTACACTAACTCACGTACTACATGTCCTGCTTAAGTTTGACCAGATATGGCCAACTGCCTATTAGCAGTTGCCAGTATGAGTGGGTTCGACTCTTTGGCTTCGAGTCAGTTCCTACTACATCTTTATAGTGATCTAAGAAGGAGTTACACAGAAATGGCCTTTATCTACAAAGAGAGTAAAGAGTCTTTATTATGATAGTATTTTTAGTGGCCTCTGTTTAACGGGACACTTGTGTTTTGAGAGGGGAGGGAGAGAGGGTGGAAGATACCTTTGATGAGTCTTTGATGCAATATATCATGGTTCAGAGCCTTGAAATCACTCTTTTGAGTAAGAGATAAAGAGTACTCATATATTAATTTTAACATCTGCAGGGATGGTAGTATATCATTAACACGTAGCACATGTAAATTTAATGTACACTGCAATATTGTTGGATCCATTAGACTCCCATAGCCTATAGCTGTATCAAAAGCGGCAGTAGCTTTGAGATATTAGCTATGAGCTACGTCTAAGCACATTTCCAAGTCTGCTGGTATGTTTAATATGTGTCACATTGTTCAATGCTTTTTGTCTCTTTGTCAAAGGCTAAGTGAAGGGGGGCACTGCCCTGTAGGCACACAAGGGACATGGATTGGAGTGTCTGTTAGCAGACAGGGTTTGAGCTTAAATTAGGATAAAGGGAGGGCTTGGATCCTTGTTTGCTTTTTAGTGGAAAATGTGGGGCATTCCAACAGCTTGTTTGTATGGGAGGGGGAATGTGTGCTGTGGTTGTTGACTTTAAATAATGAGTAATTCTTGGTAAGGAGTAAGGATGTATATATCTCTGTCTGGTAGACTATTATGCTTTGCTTTGTGTAATGATACCACATGTGCCTGGAAGTTTTGACATGTGTGATATACACAATGTAGTTTTGTTTACATGTCAGCTATTATGTATGGCTTTGTTTCATCTTATGCTTTGACAATGAATTATTTATAAATCCATTAAAAAACTATCTTAAATTGGTGTACCATTATCTGTTCTCTCTCTCTTTCTCTCCCCTCTCTCTCTCTCTCTCTCCCTCCCTCTCTCTCTCTCTCCCTCTCTCTCCCTCTCTCTCTCTCTCTCTCTCTCTCTCTCTCCCTCTCTCTCTCTCTCTCCCTCTCTCTCTCTCTCTCTCTCTCTCTCTCTCCCCTCTCTCTTCCCCTCAGAGTTGGAGAAAGAGATGGTTTTGTCTCAGATCCAGCAAAGTACTAGAATATTACAAGAACGAGAGCAGCTCTGACCTCAAGGGAGTCATTAATCTTGAAGACTGCGTGAGCGTCCACTCGTCTCTCTTTCACAGAAAGTACAAACACGTTTTCGATATCCAGACAAAGGAGAGGACTTACTACATGGTAGCTTCCTCCCTGGATGAAATGAATGCCTGGGTAAAGACCATATGCCAAGTGTGTGGATTCTATGCTACTGATAATGAAAAAGGTAATGTACATGTTAATATGCATAGCAATAGTGAATGATACCTGTACCTGTAATTGACTCTAATTGTACTGGCCTATTGTACCCTGATGCAGTTCAATTTATTGGATTTATATTACGCTTGTGCTTCTGGCTCTAATGATAGTAAAATGTGAGCCAGCCAATGATGTCACTACCATCTCAGCTGCCAGACAGAATTACTAGACTATTACAGTCCTGTCCAGACACTTCTTATGTTGTGATGTAATGGATATCAGCTTACATGTACATGTACATGTATAATGATAAAAATCAGTCAAAAGGTCATTCAGACTGAGGTCACCATGGAGTGTCTCCATCTAATAGCAGTATAGCATATAACATGCATGTATGTACATGTGTATTAGCATAGCTATGTCATATTTAATACCATCAGTCTGATAGACAATTATTAGGTCAATATCTAAGAGTCTGATTATGTAAATGATGTGCAATAGTTTTCCTGTTATTGCTGCATGTAATTGTGTTTAATTGTGTGCGTGTGAGAGTTATGTCTTGACACATTGCCTTATCTATGATATTACAGTCAGTTTATAATAATTGTTAATTTTCATTTTCAGACTCAAGTCCTACAACAAATAACAACAAGCGTTACTCGGTCACTCTCCCCAGCAACAGCAGCATACAGGCAATGCCCCTCCCACCACCTCCGCCTTCTTCGGTCTCGGAGAGCGAGTATCCACGCCCTCACAGAGTCATATCAATGGAAGGAATGGAGACAAGGAACACGATGGAGAATAAGAGTAAAGTCATGATACCTTCTGGTGTATCGTTGACACAGGCTTTAGTTGCTAAAGGTTTTAAAACAGGAGGAGGAGGAGGAGGCGGTGGTAGAACGAGCAGGTCTTCTAGTATCGCTTCAAGCTCAAGTATTTCAAGGGACAGCGTGAGCCTTGATTTCTGCGTACCACGACCACAGGACAAACCCAGCTACCTTGAGTGTATGGGGTTTCAGACATACGACAGTCCAAAAGGAACCGACTCATTATGCAAGATACCGGACTGGTATGACCTCCCACACACGTGGACTGACTCCTCGTCTGTTTTATCCGAAGGATCAGCTCAATACCTTCCTAATGGCTACCTACACATGCAGTCACTCTCCGAGACCAGCTCCCCGAGACACTGCTCCGGTAACTGGGCCACGCCTCCTGAGAGTAACTACGACTATCCTCCGCCCCCTCGTTTAGCTCGCCCTAACAATATATACGATGTTCCCCCGCCCCCTCGTCTGGCTAATCTTTCGTATGACGACACGTACGATGTCCCTCCTCCCCCTCGCCCTCTTATTAACGATACATATGACGTTCCTCCTCCCCCTCGCCCTCTTATTAACGATACATATGATGTTCCTCCTCCCCCTCGTCCTCTTGTTAACGATACATATGACGTTCCTCCTCCCCCTCGTCCGTTAATTGATAATACTTATGACATTCCACCGCCCCCTCGTTTAGCAAATCCACCCACACACAATGACACTTATGATTATCCTCCGCCCCCTCGTCCAGCCTTTAGTAATTACGATTGTCTCTCGCCGATTGAAGCTGTTGATTGTCCGAGGCCGGATGAAAGGAAGGCGGAGTCACACCGCCCACCTCCTCCCTGCCCGAAAGAGGAGGAGGAAGAGGATAAGCATCATTATGTTAATCTTGCTATCATTGCTGGAGTAATGGACGAAGGGTCTCCTCCAGTTATTGACCGCAATAACAAGCCGGCTCCTAAAATAGATCGCTCCACTAAGCCAAAATCAAATGGTGCCTCTGTGTCACCGCCTCTAGTACCTAGCTCTGATTTCACCAGTAGACACTACAGCAGTTCATCTTCTTCAACCGTTTCTGATCTCAGCAAGGACGAGCCTTTCTCTCCAACGAGGGATGTCCCACGTCTCACCCATACCTCTGTCCGTTACTGTCACGTTACGTTCCCAAAGAAACCGATACCTGCCCCGCGGACTAAAGCCCCTGGAGGATCATCTCCCATCCCCACGACCAAGTACCAGTATTCTGACGTTGATCTCTTAGCTACTGCTAACTACGTGTATAAGGAAACTACTTCAAGCAACGGCAGTTACTGCAGTGACAGTGGGATCAGCAGCAACGATCCAACCAATAGAGAGGACTTGGGAAAGAATGAGATCTTTGATAACTTCTCAGGCTCTTTTGAAGAGCCAGTTCAGGTAGGGAAAAGATTATTTTATTTATGGTTATAATTATATTATTTATGAGCATTAATTAGTACCTGAATAAAAATAGATTTTAAAATGGATTTGTTTATTTATTTATTATTTTCTCTTTCTCTCTTTTTTATAGCAACTGACTTTAGATGCTACAAGTTAGTAAGACAAAACATTTCCATTTCAATGGAGAACTAATACCTGCACACGCACACTGGCTGTTATTATTATTTAATTTTTGTGTCACATGTGTAATTTTTCTTTGTTGTTCTTATGACTATTTTTATTTTTATTTTTTCAATTTCATTGTCAATATGTTACCAACCATGTCACTCTTCTGGAATTTTTTTTTTTTTGAATAATAATTTTAACTGTTCACAGTGACAATATAATACAATACTTCATTGAATCATGGCTCAGGTAGTCCGACCAAAATTGTTCACAACATAAGAACATGTAAATGTATAAGAAAAAATTATAAAAATGGGGAATTTTCTCCTTGTGATTTTTTCTAATACGGTAGCATTACTCTAAGTAGGATTCATAGTATTAGGTCTGAGACCCAACTTTTGAGCAACTTGACAATCCACTGACTATAGAAGCTGCATGAGGATTATGCAAAAATTCTGTAGGAAACCCTGTCTGACCATTTTCGTAAAAAGGGCAGGTCAAATTAAACAATGTTCAGATACTGAATGCAATTTAAGGCTCTTGTTTTAGATTACTAGCCAACTAACCAACTTGTGTTGAAGTTTAATATTATTTTTAACTAATTTTAATCATAATGTGCTTTGAAAATGATCACAAATAATAATCACAAATTATAATGATATAATTATAATACACATTATATGGACACTAAATCAATCCAAAAACACTAAATAAAATGATACATAAATAGTCTAAATAGTCCACAGCAATAGCCAATAAATGATGTCAAGTTATTAGTCAACCTCTTCAATGGTGGGACCAGCTCCATTACCATCACTGCCACCAGTTGGAGGTGCTCCTCCAGCCCCTGGGAAGCCTCCTGGCATACCGCCAGGCATTCCACCAGGTGCTCCTCCACCAGCAGCATAAAGCTTAGTAACGATTGGTGTACAGACCTTCTCCAGTTCTTTCTGCTGGTGCTCAAACTCTTCTTTCTCTGCGGTCTGATTCTTGTCAAGCCAGGCAATGACTTCCTTGCATTTATCCACAACTTGAGTGCGTTCGTCTTCGCTGACTTTGTCTTTGATTTTATCGTCTTCCATTGTACTCTTCATGTTAAATGCGTAGCTCTCAAGGGCATTCTTGGCAGCAATCCTTTCCCTCTGCTTGTCATCTTGAGCCTTGAACTCTTCTGCTTCCTTGACCATACGCTCGATCTCTTCAGCTGAGAGACGTCCTTTGTCATTAGTGATGGTGATTTTGTTCTCCTTTCCAGTACTCTTGTCAGAGGCAGAGACGTTGAGGATACCGTTACGATCGATATCAAATGTAACCTGGATCTGAGGTACTCCACGAGGAGCAGGAGGGATGCCAGAGAGCTCAAACTTACCAAGGAGATTATTGTCCTTGGTCATGGCCCTCTCTCCTTCATAGACCTGGATAAGGACACTTGGCTGGTTGTCAGAGTAAGTCGTGAAGGTCTCTTGCTCTTTCTTTGGGATGGTAGAGTTTCTCTTGATGAGAGCCGTGAAGACACCTCCTGCTGTCTCGATTCCAAGGGAAAGAGG